TATATATATATATATATCGTCCGATGAACAGATCAGAACAGTCTCTCCATTCCCCAATGATTTTGGGGATTTCAGATGGTCTTGTGCTAGGATGAAGTTGGGGTGGGATTTGGTAATTATTACTTAATCAAGAATGTATGCTAACCTGTTTCTGAAGGATACTTCTGTTTCTAGTTCTATATGCCTGCTTCAAAAGGTCAGCCAAATTTTCAAAGTATGCATTAGCTTCAAGGTTGTTTATCTGTCCATTGGGTATTCCAAATGTTTAACCCAATTGTATTCGGTTGAGGTTTACTGACGACGTGTTATGCATAGACCTTCCTGGATCACGTGGCAATCCATTTGACTGCGATTTATTGATTATTGATCTCGACAGTATCTTTCATAATTCGTTCTGTAATTCGCGACTGAATTTGTCGGACTTGACTCGACAAATTCTACTCAAGTAGTCGAATTCCCGCGAAGCTACTCACATTGAGGTGGGTTGAAAACGCAATCTATACGATTGCACAAACGCAGCACGAGGTGTTCTCCAAGAGTTTATTTTGAACGACTTTATATGTATAAATAAATATGGAGAGAGAGAATGTTTCGAGTCCTGACAGGGACACAAGAAGTACTCATTGCCGACTAGTCTCAGGCAGAACGAAACCACTTGCCTGGGGTACCTAAGCAATTTGGAAAGATTTTACTCGATCCTAAAAGAAAGCCATTGCAGATAAACTCGATCAAGAATATTCTAAACGTTTTCACACTTTCCCCGGAGAATACTGATTAGTGTGATAGTAGCGGTGAGCTAAAATGATTTGCAAACCACCTCCAAATATCTAATATTTATGATACATCCTTTTCCCTGTATCCATTCCATCAACACAAACAGACATATGTGGATAGAATTGACCCTGACCATCACTTTCTTGTGCTCTCCTTCAACTGTGAAGGCACACATTATATGATCATGTCATATGCTGACTTTATGTTCCCGATTTACAGTTTGGCTTTAGCGGAAATTTCTCTAAACCGGTTGAAGGTGTAGCTATTGGTAGCCAATTGGGGATATCTCTGGTTGACATCTTCCTGTTAACATTAGAAAAAACTAGAGAGGTAGATGACTTTGATATTGTGGTGATTGTGCAGCGAGTAAGCACGCGCCACGGTACAGCTTCCAGGTAGTCATTCAATAATCTGATTTATCGTACACATTATCTTGATCCTCTCACCCGTGATCTCAAGCAATTAAACACTATCTATCCCCATCTGCGATCCGCAATTTGCCGCACAGTCTGGCCGTGCATAATACCAGCCCATACTAACACCTTGGGACTATGAAGCGAATTTGGGTCACCAGTGTTTTTGGTTTTCAACGGCCCAACGAATGGCGTCTGTCCCATTTCCTTCCACATGAAAATGGCTTCAGCCGTGAAAACCGTGTACCACGCATCCAAGTGTGCCAGGTGCCATGTGCAATATTCTATTCGGCGCTCAGAATCATAAGCGTAAAGATTTCGTAGNTTTCGTAGCCGAGCCTCTTCGAAGCACATTTACCTAAATTGCACTCGTTTATAGGTGACATGAGATCTTGGCCTCCGTTTATCAAATGTACAATTATACGTTTTTTTCACGAAGCGGGCTACCATGCAAGGCACATGATTCCAAGGAAACGCACAGTTGTAATGTTGCTTGAAATCTTCTTTCAGGTCATCGGGAAGGTCAGTACAAGCAGATGTGGTATACTGAAGGAATGAAATTTAGTTAGGCCGTGGGCTCTATCGCATTCGTTGGGCCTTTGAAAACCCAAAACACTGGTGACCCAAATTCGGTTCGAAGTCCCAAGGTGTTAGTACGGGATGATATTATGCATGGCAAGATTGTCGGGCTGTAACGCTTCAACGGAAACGTAATAGGTAAGATCAATTTTGCTTATTACATTGTTTGATGGGCCTTATACCTGCTAATGTTAGCTGATAATGTGATACCTGACAACTGGCGTATAGAAACTGAAGTTGGTATCACAGTTTGGTTTCAACATAACAGTGAATCGCTACACAATGCTTGAACAACGCGTTCGATTTTCAGGGCTGACTGCTTCAAGGAGACAGCTTGAAATGACGCCTCATTACGTTGAAATGATACCCAGACAAGCTGAACTGATGCTGAGACGACTTGAAATGATATTTGTCGACTCGAAATACTACAATTATAGCCTGAATCGTCAAGTGTGTCCTAAATTTGTGACGTCATGTTAGCCAACATTATTATGGTCCTACTGCCTGGTTGGCCTCTAAATCGCTGTTCACCATTACATTGCAAAGTGTGGTAGTATTTGTAACTGAACTTTGATAATTGACGTACGAAAAATTTCCCAAAGGAACGCTGAATATTTTCAGGACAAACCCTAACTTGCAGCTGAAAAAGGGCTACATTTCAAGTGCAGTGCTCTAGTGCCAAACCGAAGCCTTCATGAGAGGTTGAAAATTATTCGATGCATAAATCTTAAATGACATTGTCCCTTTGAACTGCCTTGTAAATAATATATATCAGATTATATTGAAATATGAGTAGAAGTAACAGAAACTCCATTTTTTTATCGGTCGTGTTTAGTTTGTCAAATATGTCCTAATCAATTCTTCATACTACTTAAAGTCATGTACTGCCAACCAACTTTGCAGGTAGGAATTTCGGAAATTTGCCCACCTTTTCAACTTCCTAAGGGGTGAGAAATAACAACAGACAGTCTGTTCATGTTTCAAACACTTTTTTGAGCAAACTGTGATAGTGATGATTCCACGTTTGATGCCGGCGTACCGTAGTGTGCGGTGTCTCATTTCCTGTTCTCCCTCCACCACATTCATCATATTGTTTGGACTAGTGCACTTTCATATCGAATTCTGTCATCTACCGTGACCTAGATCAAAACGATTATTTTGTCCATCACCTTGTTTAACTCAGTCTTTTCAACTCCCATTTTTTTCATTTGACATGATGGTATAAATGTGCGTTTACAGCTGAATGAGAGCATGCAAAAATGAGAAGCAATCTCAATTCTGTTTTGAGGAAATCTTAACATTTCTTGGGATAATTTGCCTAAATCCCAAACTGAGATGTTTTATTTGAGAAAACACCACTGATAACCTTTAATTCAAACAAGCTGCACAGTCACGTATCGAAAAAGATCATCATCGCCAAAAACAATAAATACCTGAGGAAATCCGGTTCGAAACGGTATCAACTTGTCAGTGGTTTGGTCTCGCAAATAACCTTGCCAGCAATCACCAATAATGATGTATTCATAACCAGCAGCAAGGTATCCATCCACTAAGAGGCGGTCTGCCTGACTTCTGATTAGTTTCTCACTGATGCACTGGTCCAGATAATCCCAACAGAACCTCTGACAACGGTATCTTTGCCACGTAGTCCATCCCATCGGAGGTCGAAGAGCCAGGCCATTATCCAGGGGTGATACAATAGAATCAGTAACAAGCAGCAAGAATAGAACACTTAACTTATGTGTTATCATTTGGCCTTGTTTTAGAAACTGAGGGAATAGGATTGGAAAACTAAAAATCAGTTAATGGCAAAAGACAGTTGGTAAATAAATCTGATGCTTACGATGTATAAGGTCAAGATAGATAAATCTGGGAACAAATATACGCATATATGTACGCATGGTATGCATGCTATAGTGTAATGCTTTAGCCTACTGTTGCTTGATCCGTTAAATCACGTTTTCCCATTAAGCTTTAGCCAAAAGACGTAGTCCTCTAGGCTGGGCCCACATTATTTTGGCCGAAACCCGAAGTGCTTTAGCCAAACCCCACAATCCTTCAGCCTTGACCCACATTCCGTGATCCAAAACTTTCAATGTTTTAGCCACGTCTTCTAGTCTCGACGCACAAACTTCAGTAAGACTGCTGTAGACGAGTCGGATCAAAAAGTATGGGAACATTCTGAGCTCAACGGATGTTAAAAAAATTATATTTTTAAATGTTGATGTTGCAAATCTGGGTTAGGATGTGACTTTCTCACGCCACACCACATATCGGTTTGAGAGGGTTCGAACGATGGGCTCGTGTTGCCAAACCATTTGACACAGCTCATAAAGCTTCAATGTTTTCGTGTAACATGCGCTACCCTTGTGAGTAAAAAACTCAAATGTGACACGCATAGTTAATTCCTTTGCAAAAACAAGCCATGATGTGAATTAAAAAGTGACACCATAAAAAAGGAATGCTTCGGTGCCGTACCTCCATTTGAAGTGAACTCAATTTTTGAGAGGTCGAAACATCAACATTCTGAGGATAAAAACAAGCTTACAAAAATACACCTGTATTACTATTATCAATTTATTAACGCTGCAACATTTGAGAATTACCACGATCCAGGCTCGAGAATTACCGATTCCGTCTACAGATTGATGGAAAAAGAAGTACCAAGGTGAGTGTCTTTCGTAAATTGTGTTTATTATCCTCGGCATGGTAGTGTATCCACCTCTAATGAAAAAAGTTCACTTTGAATGGATATCCAAAACGGTAAGCACTCACATTTTTGTGGTATCACATTTTGTTTGAACAGTCCCATAGAGCACATTTCCAATAGAACAAGGACTGGCGAACAAGCTCGTTTTCAGTTATTCGTAGTCATACCAAATACATCACATTGAAATGTGTTCTGTGGGACTGTTTAGACAATTAAAACAAGCCAAAGATCCCATCGTATTTCATCGACTTAAAAAGTATGTCAAGTTCCGTACGAAACTGGCTCTGGTAGAGGCTCGAATTCAGTTCATTGATGAGTGTGTTACCAAATCGGAATTTGCGAAACAGAATTGGACATCGTTGCATAGGAATCGTGTGAACATAACCGATGTGACCCTTCGCCGTCTCGCTCTCGATGAGCGTCACACGTTGTGTAATCACCTTGGGGATTTATAACGAAATTATGTGACTTCCGCATGTGTGTTGGATAGTCTTTCGCCGACTGAGCGAAGATATTTTGAGGATTATGTTCAGTCGAGCGTTGCTAAGCAAGTCGAACGCATCCGAACCAAGTTGCGTCAGCGACTTTAGCATGTCAAGCCCGTGAGTGAGTTTCCTGCCAATCCTGAGCAGTAGGTTCAAAATCTATCATCTGTAAATCCAGACAAAATATTGTTAGAAGTATTGTCTCTAGGATCAAAGTTTTGTTGTCCTGATGGCAGATCTAAGCAATTTGATGTAGAGGTGGAGTTTGGAAACCTATATGCCCAACTCTTTTATCTTGTTCCCTCGTCAGCCTTGGAGTTGGAAAAGCTAAAGTCAACCTTAGTCAATGCACGCTATCAACA